ACCACTTCTATTTAATGGTTTACCTGTGATTCTAGTCTTTGGATGTTTGGGAGTAAGATGTACATATTTTCTTTAAATCAATAAATAAGCATACAACAGTAGCTAAAAGAGGCAAAAGTATAGAGCTGGTACTTTAAAGAAGATGACATCAGATAACCAATGAACTTGATATGTCTTTGACCTTGCTAACAGATAAATGGAAATTTAAAGTACAATGTAAACTGACTACACAGCCACCAGCATGGTTTGCTTTCCTGCATCACTTTGGGAGCATGGACTACATAGCCGCTTCAGATAATCCTTCGGTGGTAGCTACTGAGAGTGGGCATGTGTCTACCTTAAACCCAGCAGTACACAGCACAGATATGTCCTTCATATTTGTGTGTCATAAACACAGCATGAAACAAATGCTAGAAACAGGTCAAAGTTGAAAGACAGGATTATAATAAGTTGAGTATATTCATGAAATGGATGATACTGTTTTATACAAGCATTGTTTGTAATAACAAAAATCTAGAGAATCCAAATGCCATGAAAAGAAATAAATTGACTTTTTGTGCATAAAAGTAGGAAGTGATAAAAGCAAGGGTTAGAAGAACATATAGTGTAATAGTAACAGATTAGAAAATTGTTTGGAGAGCTATACTGACATCATTAGCTACAAGAGAGGGAAAAGAGCATGATGAATCACAAATTCAAGTGGGTAATTTTCTTCTGTTAGCTTCCAGGGCTGGAATCTAGGGCCCTGTGGCCAGTGCTCTACCCTTGAGCCACATTTCCAGCCCAGAGGTGCGACTTTTATGACATGCATTGCAGCTCTGCAAGCTGCCTGTGAGCTCTGTGTCTGTCCCATTGCTTGTTTTACTCAGTGCCCAGAACAGTGCCTGGTATGTCCTCGTCACTAGAGTAAATATTTATGAGTAAATAAATGAAGATGGCGAGACATGGGCAGTTGCAGTTGGGCTGGCAAAGTTCTGTGACTAGCGGTAAAGTCTACACAGGGTGTGACAGTGTTCTTTGCACCTCATTAAATGTGGATTTGTAGTCTTTTGTGTTATAAAATATAATAAATTAAAAATAAAAATATGTTATTGAACATGCACATTGAAAAATATCACCGAGTTAGATAGAAAACGGACACCTCCATCCCCTCTCAGACCCAGCTCACTGTGGCCTCTGCCCGATGTCCCCAGGCCCTCACAGGCAGTGCATGGAGACCCAGAGGAGTCCCGGTGAGGTTGGGGCCTCCTATTTTAGGGAAAGAGATTGAAAACAGCACTTTTACATTAGTTTTGCATCAGAACAGCCACGTTGGTTTGTGCTAAGAGTGAAGAGGGAAAAACAAACAAGGAAATCCATTGGGTTATCTGGGTCATGGACCCCATCCCGGTGGATCACTGTTTAGTTTTTACTTCATCCCTTTCTTTAGTTCTAAACATAACTTTCACATATACATAGAAGTCTCTTTTAGATGACTCAGTTAAAAATAAACCTAAATAAAGGTTTTCTAAAATGCAGTCTTAGAAAATGGGGAGAATTGCCCCAAATACAGCCTTGTAGGCTGTGAGAGTTAAATACGATCAGTCCCATTTTTCAGGTTCCTTTACATATCTTGTCTTTCAAAAAAGAGAAAAAAGCCATTTGTTGAAACAACTTGGGTGAAGTCCACCCAGTGGCAGATTTCCTGTAATCCCAGTACTTTGGGAGGCTGAGGCAGTAGGGTCACAAGTTTGAGACCCGCCTGGGAATCTCAGAAGGACCCTGTCTCAAAATAAAAATAAAAAGGACCAGGAAGGTAGCTCAGCAAAGGTCCTGGGCTCAATCTCTAGTAACAAAGCAATGAACCCAAACCAGAACCTTGGGTGAGTGTCTTACTAATTTTCTCATTTCTACCAGTATTATAATTTCTCCAGCTGGGGCTCTGTGCACGATGGGCCTACCACCTTCGGGCAGCGTGGACACCAGTAGGTTCTAGAGCAGCAGCAGTTCAGACGCAGATAAACCTCCTGCACAACTCGCCATGTGCATTGGATCTGAGTGTCCCCCTTCCTGCACATTGTCAGAGTGTGCTTTGGTATTGCTAGACATCGTGTATACAGAGTTTACCTCCCAGGAGCGCTGACGTTAATGTTCTTTACTGGAAACAAAGAGGAGATACACACACCAAGCTCAGGTGTTAGTAACGCAGCTGCTTACTGAGGGCCGCACGCTCTGAAGGCTAAGGTTCTCCAGGGAAGCCACGGGGTGCGGGGAAGGGCCATACCTGCTCCCTCAGCACCTCTCTGCTGACTCTGCCTGGCCCGGCCTTGGCTTGCGTGCGATGAGCCGTCCTGAAGATTCCTGTCGCTAGCCCGCCCTTCACTTTCTTCCACTAGTTCTGAATAGTTCACACATAGCTACTCCGTCTCTTTCTCTCCTCTTCCTCTCCCCGTCCCTTTCTCTTACACACACCGCACACGCATGTGCACTCCTCTCCCAGCTGGGTCGGTAGACAGCTATGAAGGACCCAGACATCCCCCCAGTTTGTCTTCGGTGCGCGCACAGCGGCAGTCGGATCCTCAGAATCTAGAGGAAGTCAGTCTGTTTATTGGATGACCCTTTTGTAGCATTTTAAGCTCATTTTCTCTTACCATGCCTCGTTTCCACTCAAGACAGTTCTGAAGCAAACTTCATATTCAAAAAGAGGCAAATAGCATTGGGAGTATCTTTTAGAGACGCGAGAGCAGTGAGTATGGAAGAGTGCTGTGGTTCATACGTAGGTGTTCCCTAAAGCTGCACATGATTGAGAGGGTCCGTGCCCAGGGGACCGCCATGAGGGTTAGCAGCTGGCCTGCGGTCAGGAGGGGCGGTCACTGTGTGGCCTGGCCGCTGCATCCCCTGGGGACTCCTGTCTGCACTCTCTCCTCCTGGACACAGCTACCCTCCGGGCCTAGGAGCCAGCAGGCCATGGCCGGCAGTACAAGCTAGAGTCAACTTCTCCTTCAAGCTGGGAGTGTCGGGTGCTGCATCTGAGTGGGAAAGCAGGACAAAGTGTTAGGTTTGCGTATTAAGAACTTATTTATTAGGAAACCACAAACATACTCTAAAGGCGAATTACCCACCATGATAAAGTAGTTGTCACTGAGTAGCCACAAACTCAGAGCAGGTGCAAAGGCCCAGAAGTCAGTAAAGAGCACAAACAAGCTGCTAGGAAAATGGCTGCAAGGCAGAAGCTCACAGGTCGCCATTTCAGAGAAGAGAAAGACACACATACACAGTAAGTGCACGATGCAATGTGCAGGACTTTTAGTGACCCTGAAAGTAAAATCAAACTCACGTGAAACACTGTTTTATGCACAGTGCCATGGCCAGAATGGAGCAGGGTCCTCCCGGCAGGCGCAGTGTGGATTGTAGTTTGGCAGCTTCCCTCTAAGTCTCGCAGTTTTACCCTTTCGTGTGCACAGGAGATGAACAGGAGAATTCGGAGCACTGCTGCTCACAGTAGCCAAGTCCTGAGACAGCCGGGCCCATCGTGGGCCAGCGGACGCACGCGTGGGATGGGGTGTGGCCGCCGAGGGTGGGCTACTCCAGCGTGGACGATTCTTGGCCATAGATATTAAGCGAAAAATGTCTCCAAATAGTACATTGGCATGTTACTGATTTCATGAAGTTAAAAACAACCAGAGCAAGAAAGTATTTAGAATATAGAGGAAATGAAACAATTTAAAAAACAAGGGACTGCAGATCACAGTGTCCGGCGGACGGATGCACAATCACAGGACAAACATGCAGCAGCAGTGACATCCGTGCCGCCAGGCTGTGTTTGTTGTTGTTGTTCTCAGTGCTGGAGATGGGACCCAGGGCTTTGCAGAGGGCGACCATGTGCCCTGCCGCCTCCCATCCTCACGCTAAGGTCTTAGCTTTACTCCGCCTGGCAGGTTTGAGGATGCTGGGTGTGGTGTAAACTCGCTAACAAAATGAATGCAAGTAGGTCAGATAAGGACCAGCGACAACTGTGCACCTGGGATTCTGAACAAAGGAATAAAAACCCACCTCTTATTCTGAAGCGAGAATACTCATCCAAAATACAGAACGAATCGTAAAAGTCGCACAGACAGCATGTGTGTCCACTTCCATCGGCCTTTGTTTTTGTGTGGTTTTTATCTTTGTTTTATTAGAACATGCCTGCGGTACACAGTCATTCCAAGTTGGTACGTGCACGTAACACATTTCAACTCTTTTTACATCTTCCTCCCTCTCTCTCTCCCCTCCACCTCTCGGTCCCTTCCCACAGCATGGAAATCGCCATCTCAACAGACGACAGAGAACAAGACAATGTTCCCGCTCTCGAGGAGGTCATGGTGACAGAGGGACACATAGTGGGCGATCTACAAAAGCATTCGCTAGGAAAATTAGAGAGAAGAAAGCAAGCCCTGGGCAGGGGCCACGAAACCAGCGTGGCATAGAGGAAGTCACCCCGGGAATGTGTAGAATCTAACGTTGGACTTGAAAAGGAAAGAACTGCAGGGCAGAGGAGTGCCATGTGTGAGGGCCTGAAGGAGGAAACTGGCTCCGTTTGGGTGGGGAACATAGGGCCAGGAAGGTTGAGGAGGCGTCGCAGTGAGTGGCTCTGCCGTGACGCAACGGTCTCGGACCTTATCTCCGCAGCTGCAGGAAGCCGTGGGAGAACTTAGCCCTGGAGGACATGATCAGATCGCTCACTCTGCAGACCGCAGGACCGGAGGCAGTTCAGTGAGATCGCGGAGGGACAGTTGTCCAGGCCGCCCCGTCTGACTGGGTGGACTGGCAGAGGGGGTGGAGAGTATGAGGCAGGTTAGGCTTTATCCACCAGGTAGAATGAGTGCGATTCACCGACTGACTGGATACAGGGCCTAAGAAGGAGGCAGAAGGCAAGAATGATTTTGCGTGCAGGTGGCAGAGGAAATGGTGGTGTGGGGCCCAAGCGTGGGAGAATGGAAGCAAGCACACGCTTGTTTTCTTCCGTGATGCAACTCATTCGCCCAGACACTGGCTCCAAGTGTGCTGGGGCCTTCTCAGCAGCATTTCTGCAACGAAGTCTGGGCGCCCAGCACTAGCAATGAGGATTCGCTTCTGTTTCCTCAACACCTGGAACAAGTAAGTGGCTTAAAGACACTGACTGTGGCAGGCCACTCTCTGAGGAGTCTTAAAAGTTTCCAGAACTCGTGACCAAGTATTAGAAATGTTGTTCCACTTCATTCTGTAAGTAACTCTTGGGTCAGTTACTTATATGGCAGAAAGATGAGGACTGAAAACAACTGTGGCCCTGACCGACCTCAGGCTATAAAACAATGTGAGAGCTCCCTCTGGGATTGCAGCTGGCTATCCACAGTCTCAGATTCAACCAGACTTAGTTTAACTTTTAACACAAGTTGTGCTTGTACTGAACAAGCAAAGACCTTTTCCTGTCTCCATTCTCTGTACAGCAGAGTGCAGCAACTGCTTATAAAGCTCATATCGCCTGGGTCAGGTGTTGTAAGTGACCTAGGGGTGGACACTGGACACAAGCTACATGCAGGGTGCTACACCACTTCCTATCATGGACATGGACACCCTCAGATTTTGGTATTCATTCAATTCACCAATTCTCCTCAAATATGAAGAGATGACTGAATTTTTCTCTTTTTAAAAGCAAAATAATTAAACATGGCTAGAGAGGGTGGCAGGTAAACAATAAAATCTTTTTGCATTGGGTACGACATAAAACAAGGGTACTTATTCTTTTCTTTCATATTGTAGACCATAAACATGCGAAGGAAGTAACATTAATTTCCTGTGGGGGGACTGCCGAAATGAAATTTTGTGATTACTGCTTTAAAAACAGAGAGAAATGCACGAATCTACTTCCTGTAGGAGTCCCATAAGACAACCAGTGTGGTGGTCACTGTGAACACAGGCCTTGCAGAAACCTTTACAATAAGGTGGTGACGCAGCGAGGCATTGTCAAGCTTCAAGAAATATCGACCCATTACCTCCAGATGAGTCCCTGAAGGGTTATTGCTAGTATTTGGCCTTGGGGAAAGGAGTCAATAAAAATCCATGTTCATGGCGCTTTATATACTGTGTGCAGGCAGAAGGAAGGCTGAACGAGGGTTATGGCTTCCCTTGTACCCGTCACACGGCTATGAGCAGGACTGTTAATGTCGGTCGTCAGTTGTCACACTCGCAGTGAGTGTGTGAGTGTGGATGGTCGGTGGCACAGAACTTAGAGGTGCCAGGAAGGTGGACGCAAACCGTAGCTTTGCCACTTCAGAATGATGTGACTTTGAACCAACCTCCACCCTCTCTGCCCTTTCCTGGCTGGACGATACACTTCCTGGAGTTTGTGAGTTGAGACCTGTGAGACTTTAGATCAAAGCTGGTGGGCACTGAACAGCAGAGATGACGTAGCTGGAGCACAAATGCGTTCCAGTCGTGCACAGCAGACTGAGGCCTGACACGAGCCTCACCACCCAACACCGCTAAGCACGGAAAATATCCTTGGGAGGTGTGATGGCTGATCTCCTCATGTGGCCTCCAGACAGCCCAAGAAATTACGTTTTTAATATTTAAGTGAGAAGTGTTGACTCTGCCTGCCCCTGTTTATCATAATCTGTGGAAGCAGCTTGGGAGAAAACTTCAGGGCCAATAATGGGGCACTCTTTCAGGAAACGCTGTGTCAGCATTGCTCCCAGCCACGCGGAGAGTGGCCGCGTGGAAAAACACAGGCACGATGCCCTGATCTGGAAAACGAGGCCGAAGGCCCAAACTCTTACTATTTTGTGTATTTAAATAAGCACAGCCACAATGGTAGGTAAAAAACATACATCCAGCCAGCTCTATTTATTAAACACAGCACTTTCGATCTGTGTAGCATAAAAACTCTAGTGGTAAAGCACTGGGTCATAATCTGTCAGCCTCTCCCTGTTGTACTGGAAAATAAATAAAGGAGCATCTTGCCACTGCTGACAGCCAAGCCTTACGGGAATGTGGTGAACAGAGGACCATCGGCAGAAGGCAGAAGGGCAGGAAACAAGTGAGAAAAGCGGGCAGACCGCGTCCAGCCCTGCGCTCCCTTCCCCGGCCAGGTGGACGTGGGGTACACTGACATCTGCCTGGCACTGTGAGAGGACAGTCCCACGGAAGTCCGTGGGTACATTGTGCAGGGCAAATGAAGTGTTTAGTGCCAGATTGAACACCTACTTCAAGTCTGTAGTAAGTAAATATCATTTCCTGTTATGGTAATTAATAATACCCTTTAAAAAAACAAAAGTACTTCTGGATTTTTCACGCATATAATGGAAAGCTGTTTGTTGTATCTGTCAGTTATCCCCATAAAACAAAACTGTATATTTAAAATACAATGAGCATAAGGCCTAAATCATTTTTAATATATTCACTGAAGCAAAATGTAAAAAAGGATAGGCGAATGAATATTCACTACATTTGAAAGGTACATTTATAATGGTCTGACGTAAAATATAATTTAAATGTCCTACTTAAGAAGTTACGCTGGGGAGGTCAGGAGAACTGCCAAGGCGGGGGTGCCTTCCGGCACAAATCCCTACACAGGAAGAGCAGCGAGCGTGGATGAGAAGTCCGACCAGTCCTGGAGACACCACTCCCACGAGGTGGGTCCCAAACACGAGGCGCGCGCGGCCTTCCCCAGACGGCAGCGGGGCCCGGGTGGACGTGAGCCGGCGTCGCTCGGCCTGCCAACGGTGAGATCGCAGTGCCCCGCAGACTCCCACGCCTTTCTTCCCTGCGTCCACTGTGGGGTTTTGCTGTGAGGCTCTCACGATGGTCACAGAGCATCTTATGGTTAAAAGAGGGTATTTTAAACTGGTAGCAATTTAACTTTGATGTTATAAAGATACTCAACACTCTTACTTGATACCGTGTTTTTCTGAAGGTACTCATATGGATTCTCAACCTTAAGGCTCCTTTAAAGAAAGAAATGATTACAATTCTCTGGTGTTGACTTATAAATGTCATGCAAAAGCTAGATATAAATAGTTTGAGAGTCAACGAGATTCAGAAAAAAATACAACAAAATGAAACTAATAAAATTGAAATTGATGTAGTTGGTAGACGAAGTTGCCGCCCTGCTTTGCTGAGCTCAGGAGCTGCTGCTGGAGTTGGGAGCAGGGCTGGCGACCGGACAGCGAGGTCCCGGTGTGCTGTGGGGCGCAGCCCAGCCAGAGCTCCAGGTGGAGGCGCCGCGCCGTGCTCCTATCGCTTTTCTCTGCAACCCCGGAGACATTTCTCCAAAGCCTGCTACGCCTTTGTGCAGCCCACCTCTCTGGCCCGCACTGAAGCAGTGGGGCTGCACTGCAGTCTTCACAGCCAGTGCAAGCAAGGAGCCCTGTCGTTACCTGCTGCTTCCTGACAAACACCACAAAACTCTGGCTTACCTCGGCAATGGACCTCAGATTCTTTGGGTGAGGAGCCCAGGATGGTACTCTGTGCAGTGGCTCTGCGACACAGTGGCCTCAGGACAGTGGTGAAAACTATGAGAGTTTGCAACGTTTTTCTAAACCACCGCACATTTTGAGATCACGAAGCCATTTGCAGTTTTAGGGTGCCCGTCTGTTTTATGAGTTTTAGGATGACTCAATATATGCATTACATTCTCACAGAACTGGAAGGAGGGCGTAAGCCAGCTCCCACCTGTCTGAGCCCTATTTTAGGAAAAATTCAGCTAGGTGCCTATGGAGATAACCAACCACAGTAGCGCTGAGCTCGTGGAGTAGGCGGGATGTGCTCAAGAAACAGGAAGAGCAGACAAGACCGGCTGGAGGCCAGCTTTGGGAATGGGCGAATAAGTGAATGACTCTGCCCGCGTGCCCTCCCGCAGCCCAGCACCCGTAAGCGCCCTCTCTGTACAACAGGACTGCAGGATCCTGGGGCTGTCAGCGTGGGCGGGTGTGGCCTGTCCTCTTCCCGTGTTGTCTCGGGTGTGTTAAGAGGTTGGCTCTTGCCCACTTCTTACATTTGGGACATCTGTGTTCACGGCTGCCATAGGCCTTGCGTTTGACCACGCCATTCCCATTCCCTGTGCTGAGCTTTATGTCAAAGAAGGGCTCACTTTCAAGACTCTTGCCTGAGCGTGGACAGTCTGTGGGTGCTGGCCTCAAGGAGCAGGACTGGAGCTCCTGCAAGGCCGGACCGCAGCTCCTTCATTCTGACCAGAGGTCTGGACCCTGAGGGCAGGGACAGAGTGTGCGGCTGTGGTCTGGAAATCCTCTAGAAGTTTAGACCAGGCGCAGCTGTGAGGGTGGCACCGCCCAACAGCAGGGCGGGGCGGGGGAGCGCCGTGCAGGGACGATCCCTGATGGCTCAGTCTGTTCAGCAGGACTCTGCACCGGCCAGCTTTTCCTAAGGTGCACAAAATGTTTTGAGTTTGTGTGTGGTTCAGTGAAATGTTCAACAGAGAATTCTGCCTTTCATTGGAATTTGGTGGTGAGATTTCTGGGACTCTGTTTCAGATGTCCTTTGTCCTCTTGCAGGTAGGATGGGCCATGAAAAGTGGTTGAGACTGGACAGACCACGCCACAGTTAGACTTTTCCTCCTGAATGCTGAGCAGGAGGGTACAGACAGAGGAGGAACCATGGAGACTCAATTTCAATATGCGGGCAAGAGTACACACACTGTCACGTTGCAACTGGTTATTGGCGTTCTGATAATTTGGTGATCTTTTCATTGTCCAGAAATTTAGCAAACATGTTGACTTAGGGTTGGCTGTTTCATGTGGCTCTGATATTCTCACCAGGACTCATTTTCTCCCCAACGCCTAGCTCAGTTTTGCTCTGTTTTGGCTTTATTTTTGAGGAGATGTTCCTCAAACAGTGGCTAAGGAGCCCTCTGTAACTCTAGGCTTGTGCTTTACTAGGTCTCAGTCCCAGCAGGAAGGAGAACACCTGGGACCACGCCGGCAGGTTTCCCGGTGGGCTCTGCTTGGGTGCAGATGAAGTTTGTGTTCTTTGAATCCCACCGAGACCGAAGAGCAGCAGCACTGCGCTCGCCTGGCTGAGGGCATGGACCTGGCCTCAGGTCAGAGGAGTGCGAACCTCCTGCTTACACTGCGGAGGGCAGAGGTTGGCTGCCTCGGGTCCAGAGAGCTGCTCCCAAGGAAGGTGGTCAGAACCAACAGATCCCGTTGTGAGAGAGGAAGCCGTCAACACACACGTGCTCACAAAAATGTGTGCTAGGAATTTTAGTGCAATAGCTGGATAAGTGCAGGGTGCATCCTGTTGAATTGTCTTTCTGTACTTTTTTAATAGCCAAGTCTTTGGAGTTACGGCCCCTCAGACGCTGCTGGGACTTCATCTTGTGTCTGGAGCTGTGCGGGAAGTGGAGGACAGGGGAGAAGCCAGCCCCGGGGATGTCGGCTGAAAGCTGAAATGTGCCACAGCCCTGCGCTCCTCCTCTCCGACAAGGACTCTCCACTCTGCCCGTCTCCTCACACAAGGCTGGGATCTGCTCCTCTCCTTGGATGCGGAGGGTCGGGCCTCCGAGTTCTTCTGACTGGAAGGCATGTTACGAAACGGGATGTACCCTCGAGAGCTGCAGGTAAGAAACGGGAACAGCACAGCCTCACATGACCCCCACTTAGCCTCCTGGTCCTGGGCTCCTTTCCCCTCAACAGGTGTGAAGACAAAAGGCCCATTGTCCTTAGGAGCCTATAGGATAAAGGGGGAGAACATGTCCTTGCCGGTTACTCTGTCAGTGATGAAGAGTGTGTTTAATCTCCTGCCATCTCCATGGTTCCACGGGGTGAATTCTACCGAGGGACAAAGTCCGCTTTGTCTCCCAACCCACTCAGACGTTTAACTTGACCTTTCATGCAGTCCTCGGTGGTCACAGCCCGAGCACTGTGTTGTGACGATGCATTGGGAATATTATGTCTTTTCCCTGCAAGGGGGAGAGTGCAAATATCAGAGATGCTCTGAAGTTGAGGAGAAACGTGTTTCCCTTCTGCTGATTTCTTGAAGTAAGACTTCATCTGTCCAGTAGTCATAGGCTTGCAGAAAAACTGAAGGGAGAGCTCAGTGGGCTCTCTTCTTGGCCCTCATTCCTCCCATGCATCCTCTGCTATGGGCACCGCCGATGAGCACCCACAGTTTGAGTTAGGGCTCCACTCTACCTTCTGGGGCTTTCATCAAGTGCGAGGCCTACCTCACTGGCCTGGCAAGCCCTGTGCTCCGCCTACTGCCTTCCCTGCTCTCCCTGTGTCCGTCCGTCCGTCCATCCGTCAGTCCATCCCGCCCTCCACCCCGGAAGCACTGGTTCCCCGCCCCTGGTCTCGGCCTTTCGGTCCGAATCTCTGGAGCCGGCTTCTTCCCTCTGCAGAATGCACTGAAGCTTCGGGCGTCTTCTGCTGGCTAGTTCTCTGCTGTGGCTAAAGTCTCTGCTGTGTTCCTTCAGCTCTCAGTGTAAGAAAGCAGCACGCTTGTCCCCACCTCTCACTTTTTTCATTGGTATTTGCCTAATTGTGGGAGATTGTCTAAGTTTTGGAAGGTGGTTTATTGTACATTTTTGGTCGAAGAACTGAATGACATCTCAGCATCATTTCAAGCACATTTCTTGTGGGACAGAAGAAATAAATAGCAAATTCACATGCTGATGACAGCTCTCTGAGGGAGAGTCTGCCCGGGCTGCAGGCCACATTGGGATTCCTGGGAATTTTACATGGGAGAATTTATAGTCACATAATTAGTGTTTTCCTTCAAATGAATGCCACCGACTCTCTAGCACACAGGGACCTGGTTGGTTCATACTTTCACTGTGGACGTGTGGCTCAGACATTTTTCTTTTCTGTTTCTGTTTCTGAAATAGAAGGCGGCAAGGCCATACGAAAACCATGCAGAGTTTGGGAGCTCCTGTTCATTTCTCCTGAACATGGGCAGAGGTGGGTGCCCACTGAGAAGGGCACAGGCTGTCAGGGTCAGTGCGTGACCCGAGGGTGCCCACAGCCTTATTCCTTGAGTTCCTTCCCCTCTTGGGATGCCATGCACTCACCCACCCCAAACCACCACTCCTGGCCACTGCTACACTTCCTTCTGGTGAAACCAAGTGATATGAAATCATCAGCACCTCTCCCTCCCTCCAGACCCTCTCCACTTATAAAAACATCATCCACTAATTGTTAGAATCCCAGGGGTGCCTGACACCTAATTTCCATTCAACCAAGAGCTGACTGGACCCTCAGCATCCCTCTTTACCCTGTTCTTACTTGGTACCCACTTTTCTTTCGCAGAAAAGGCCTGCCTTGTCCAGGGCAGAGTGAAAAACAGCCCCACCCTGTCTCTCTCAGTCTCTGTTATCCAGCAACTGTCCAAAGACGTGGAAGAACGTCAGCAAGGCATACTGGAAGCAGGTACGCAAAAGCCAGACAAGATGGGGCAGAGAAGCCTGATGTCAGGGAAGGTGTCCCCTAAATGACACGAAGCAGCTCCATGAGGTGACATGGAAAAGTTAGAGGTGCCAGCAGAAGGCCAGCTGTTAGAGTGAGGAGTGGACTCAGTTGTGTGAAAAAGCAATCGCGAAAAACAGTACACTAGCATAAGTACCTGTGTAGTTAGCAGGGAGGTGATAAAGCTTAAAGATGGAGTGTGGTCTTGAGGATCAGTGTGAATTTGAAGCCTAGTTCTGCCTTTGACTTTTAACCAGCAGTCGTTCAGCCCGCACCCCAGCCTTCTCCAGAGAGGAGCAGGCCGCTTACCCGCCCGCTGTGTCCCGAAGACGGGGCTTGGGTAGGGTACCTGCTGGCGCGTGGTGCTCAGCTCAGGCGGATTTCCATTAGATGCCTGTTGGTAAAATGTCAGGGAGGACTGAGAATCCCGGGGCCCAGCCCTGCCCCGACTCTCACTGCACAACCTCTTCGGGCAGCCTGGGGGCTAGAGGTCCTGTGGGCGAGCTGGGAGACGCCGCCTTGGGTTTTAGCACCCAGGACTCTGTGCCTGTGTGTGCTGAAGGCCGTCATCAAAGCTGGGGAGCCAAGAGCGGGGCCCGTGGAGGCAGGTTCTGGATCCGTGCGGCACCGACTGCAGAGAAATGGGTTTCGCACTTCTTCTCATGGCAGCCTTTTCTGCCGCCCACTGAAGCGAGGCCCCTGCCCAGTGGTGTGTTGCTCTGCCAGCGAGTCTTCTGTTTGGCCTGCATGCAGCGTGCCTCTGTCCACCCTCCCGTGTCCCGAGGAGCGGGACCCAGCTCCTGCCCTCGTGGTGTCCTCCAGCCTAAGCATTCAGCGTCTCCCTGGAGACAAGGGCTTTATGATCTGTTGTACATAGATAATTCAAGATTCAGGCTCACAGCTTTTTTTTTTTAAAGAAAGTAAGACAGTAGTGAAACTCATTTTCTATAACTCCCCAAGTGGTTTTGCAATAAATCTGTGAATTTAATCACCTTCCTCTGTTGAGAATCTCCCCTAATTGGGTTCTTGTGAGAGATAATAGAGCTGATGAAAAAATACTTCATCCCTGGAAAAGAAGCCAGAGCCTCATCCAATACACCAACACTAAAGACGGATGATCCCCAAAGGAGGCTTGGGCAGCCCAGGGGAAGCTCGCGGGTCCCCTGCCCTGTGTCAGGGCGGCAGCTTCTAGAGGATCATACTCCAACTCCTGGTCAGCGGCCAAAAGATGAAATTCTCTACATGGAAACCGAGGGTCTGCAGGACCGCGATGGCCGGTTACTAAGGGGACACAGAGGGACTTTCAGATGCATCTAGCGGACTCAGCGTTGGAGACTCGGGACTCGGATGCCTCCTTGTCCATCTCCCGAGGGAGACCAGGACAGGCACTGCGGGAACTGAGCACACATCCCTCGACTGCTGGCTGGCAGAGCCGCCTCATGGCAAGGAGAAAGCCACAGCTCAAAGCTTCCTGACCTCAGCTGCTGGACAGGTTGGACCTCCGGAGAGGGCCTGTCACCAAGTTGCTTGCCCCATTGGAGGGGTCAGGGCCCTGGCAGACTCAGCGCCACCGACTTTGCTGGGTTTCCCGAAGCCCCTCCTAGGCCTGCCTGCACAGCCTCTCGGGGTCCAGGGTGAGAGGTCACCAGGGCCTCCTGGGAGTAGATGCAGGAGCTCACTGGGATGGCAGAGCCAGAGCCAAAGTGGAGGAAGAGCTACTCAAGTGCCGTCGTCCTGTGAGCAGGACTCATCTACTTCCTCACACCACAGAGCAGACAGCGTCCTGGTGCCTCTGCTCAAGTGGGGCACTCAAGGACTAAAGTACAATAAAACCCAGACCCCTGGTGTCAGCCCCAGGGTGTGATTCCTCCCTCTTCTCCCACTGGACAGCTTCAGTATGAATTGCTCCCGAAACCAACATTAAAATTTAACCACTGCTCCGGGCAGGGAAAGAAGAAACCTCCCTTCTTCTGGGACTTTTCTTTGGGTGCATGTCCTACTGAGTTCGTGAGCCTTACCCACACCGCAGCTGGGGGCTTCCCCGGGGGCATCTCCCAAGTAACCGAGGCACCCAAGTGTGGTCCCAGCTGAGAACTCCAGACTCCTGAAACCCAGTGCCAGGCCCCAGTCTGCGTCTGTCCGGCCAGGGAGATGCAGCGCTGCTAAGTCTGAGGCCACCCCAGGCTAATCGTTTCTCCAGAATGCTTTCCACTTGTGCGCTGTGTGCTTGTTCCTTCCCTTGCCTGCATCTGCTAGGCTTCTTCTTTTGCTGAAAGGCGGGCTCTGAGTCGTCTCTAGAGACTTCCAGAATAATGCTGTCTCCTGTGTCAGTCCCCTCTGGTATCCTCAGACGTAACTCTGTTATGCTTTGACAGCTTTCGGGACTTCCACTAGTACATTTTGCTGTAACTGTCTAGCCTCTATTTTCCATGCCAGGCTAAAAAGGGAGGAAAATGTCAAATTCAGAAAAAAATTTCAGAAATTTATACCAAATATGAACCAATCATTGTGTTAGTTCTGGTGATGCCAAAATAAAATAATAAAAATTTAATAGAAAGTGGGCGTGGGCTTATTTACCTAATTGTTTGTTGCATGTCAAATGCTATTTCCCATTCTCTGACATGTGTGAGCTGTGTGAACTTCAGGAAAGTTATTTAACCCTTTAAATATCATCCATAGCAAGGAAGTACTGGTGATACTTCAGTTTTTATGGGCTAATTAAAAACATGTACTTTGCTTAGCCCACTACCTGGCCAGCGTGGGTACCCAGTGAGCATTAGTTATTGCTTTGTAATATATTAATATTAATAGCACTGTGTTTATAATATTAATTCCATCATAACAGCAGCAGCGACTTGTGCCTGATACAGAGAACCTGGGCATACACGTGAAGATTTTTGAAAGATCAGGGTTGTGGGATTATCTGCTTCCTGAAGTACTTGACAACCACCTCAGGCAAATCTAACTTTACATAAAGCATCCGGAAGTGTGAGGACTTGTGCACAGCCTGTCTCAGTCAGCCAGTGCAAAGACTCATCAGGGCTGCACATCCTGCTCCCGTCATCTCAGGCTCGCGCTGGATTTACACTCCCAGCCCCTTCCGACGGTGGCTCTGGTTCTCAAACTTGGGTTCACTTTAGAATCACGGTGGTCACCTGTGTCTCACTCCCAAAGCTCCAGGTTAATTGACTGGTGGTCAGGGCCCGGCTCTGCGATCCCCAGATAATTGCTGTGCCGAAAACTCCCAAGAACACTCACCTGTGGCTCGTGATGACAAGTATTAAAAAGAGGCATCTTGCCACTTTCCACACAGTGGATGTGTCTGTGGTTGCTGTCGGTGTGTGGTGCTGTGGTAGCACTAATACACCCAAGGTATCTGCAGGAATGTGTCGAGCACAGTGACCTTCTCAGTGGGCAGGAAGGACCCTGAGTCAGTGCCACTATGGGCCCCAAGGGGCTGCTCTCCTTCACTGTCGAGCTGGCCCTTCACAGCTACCCTTCTTCGTCTGGGCGGACCAGTCCCATGCCAGGTGGGGGGCTGGCTTCCTTCCTGTGTAGCTCTACCTGCAGGAGCAGGGCTCACCAGGAGCCCTGGGGCCTGCACTGCACGCTGCGATGCTCGGGCCAGGAACTCCACGGACTAGGACTCCTTTTCTGCTCCCCATCCGTCTCCCCAAGTGCTCCCCGCTTCTTGAGGTAGCTACTCTGACAGAGCAGCCAGAATATGGTCACAAAGGTGGCAAGAGGTGGTGGCGTGGGACAGAGTCCTGGGGCCCTTAGTGAGAGCACGGCAGAAGCTTCTACTGTGTGCCATAGAGATCCTCCCCCGCTCCAGAGTCTGGACGGCAGGAAAGAGTTTATTTCAACAGAAATCATATAGGAGAAGCACCGGAAACCTTTCAGATGTGAACAGTGCTCAAATGGAAAATGGGAAAAATTAAATAATACAAGACCTATGGTGGAATATTCACATCGAAAAGAGAGCCCATTTAACCACATCTGCGATGTGATAGCTCTTTTGACAGCCAGGTTTTCTTTAAGTCATGCCCGCACACGAGTGTGAATTTGAGACTTCTTCTTTTCCTCTGTCCTTTGCCCTCTTCCTCTCTCATTTCTTCTTGTCTCTTCCCATCAGGATTCTCAGGCAAGGAAAATACAGCAGGGTGCACTCAACAGAGAGGGGAAGATGCCACGCCCCTTTCTGAGAGCACCCCACAAGGCGTGTTTGTCAGGTGACAAAATCTCTAATTCTCACAAAACTCCACAGAGGGACATTGTATACACATCTATTTTTTGAATAAGAGGCTTGAACAATGAAACACAATTATGCAAAAGGAGTCAGGGTTCAGATTTGGAGCCCGCCCTGGCTGGACAGCTGCTGGGTCTGTGTGTGGAGAAGGAGCCTGGCCGCAGCCATCCCCTCAGCTCAGTTTCTGTTGGCATTGTCTTCACAACTCCAGCCACCCTCGGATCGATATCTGGCGCTATGGGGAGCCAGGGGACCCGTTAGGAGAGGAATCGCTGACCACAGGGCCAGGGCCTCCCCAGGCTGATTCTTCCAGGTCTGGTTCTGCAGACCCCACAGCTCCTCTGCACCACTCCGAGGGTTATTTCACGGCTCTGTCAGACTCAGAAGCGAGGAGTCTGCAAAGACTGGGCCACTGCAAGCCCTGGAGAGCCCACAGCAGCAGAACGAGGCCACGAGAAGCTGCGGCTCTTCCCTGATGTCTGGCCAGGCCCACGCCGAGTGGGAAGAGGACCAAGGGGAGAGGCGTGCTCTGCTTCTGGCTGAGTCCATCTCATCTGTAGGAGCAGAAGACTGCAGAGAAGAGAGTTTCATAGCCAGGCCACGGACTGGGTCAGATGGACCGAAAAGAACGGTTAGAGTCCGTCAGAGCGCTTGGATCTCATTATTCAGGGAGGGATGTGCTTTGTGTTCACAAGTGAGGAGAAAACCTGAAAAC